CATAAACAGCCTTTATTGTATTGAGGAATGTTCCATGGATTCCTAATTTTTCCAGAACCTTCATCATAAAGGGGTGTTGCATCTTGTCGAATGCTTTTACTTCATATATTGAAATAACCATGTGGTTCTTATTCTTGCTCCTGTTGAGGTGATAAATAATATTAATTGATTTGCATATATTGTACCAGTTTGCGCCCTGAAATGAATCCTGTTTGATCGTGTTGTATGATTTTTTGGGTGAATTGTTGAAGTAGATTGGCCAAAATTTTGTTGAGAAGTTTTGCATCAATGTTCATCAAAGAAATGGGTCTATAGTTCTCTTTCTTTGATGAGTCCCTGCCTGATTTTGGGATGAGGGTTATGATGGCTTCATAGAATGTTTTCGGTAGTGAGCTTTCTCTTTCAATTTCATTGAAGAGTTGGAGGAGTATTGGTGTGAGCTCTGCTTTGAAGGCCTTGTAAAATTCCGCTGTAAAACCATCTGGTCTTGGACTTTCTTAGCTGGGAGATCTCTTATTGCTCTTTGTATTTCAATGCTTGATATGGGCCTGTTAAGATGGTTTAACTCATCTTGGTTTAGTTTTGGCATGTCAATATTTGCTAGGATAAGGTGCATTTCTGCCCAGTTCTCAAACTTATTAGCATAAAGTTTTGAGAAGTATTCCCTTATAATGTTCTGAATCTTGGTTGTTTCTTAAGGTGATGTTTCCATTCTCATCTCTGAGTTTATTTACTTGGATGTCATCTCTTCTTTTTCTCCTGAGATTTGCTAAAAGTCTGTCAATTTTTTTAATTTTCTTGAAGAACCATCTCTTTGTTTTGTTGATTGTTTCTATAGTTGTTTTGGATTCTAATTCATTTAATTCTGATTTAATTTTAATTATTTCTCTCTGTCTATTGTATTGGGCCTTATCTTGCTGCTCTTTTTCAAGGAGGTTTAGATGTGTCATTAAATTGTTGGTTTCAGATCTCTCCTATTTGTTGATAAAGGAGCTTAGAGCTATAAACTTGCCTCTGAGTACTGCCTTGGCTGTGTCCCAGAGGAGCTGGTAATTTGTGTGCTCATTTTTGTTGAATAGCATGAACATTTGAATTCCCTTTCTAATCTCAATGACCCACTCGTGATTCAGCAGTGTGTTGTTCAGTCTCCATGTGTTACCAGACTTTCTTTGGTGGCTTTTGGTGTTGAGCTCTAATTTTATTCCCTTGTGGTCTGAGAGAATGCAAGATATAACTTCAATGTTTCTGAATTTAGACAATTTTGCTTTGTGGCCTAAAATGTGGTCTGTTTTAGAAAATGTTCCATGTGCTACTGAGAAAAACGTGTATTCTGATGCTGCTGGGTGAAATGTTCGATAGATGTCTGTAAAATCTAGTTGATCTATGCAGCTGTTTAAATCTGCAGTTTCTCTGTTGAGTTTTTGCCGAGTTGATCTATCTAGTGGGGAGAGTGGTGTGTTAAAATCTCCAACAATTAATGTCTTTGGATCTATGTGGGATTTGAGGGAAAGTAGTGTTTCTTGGATAAATTTGAGTGCTCCATTGTTTGGCGAATAGATATTTAGAATTGTATTCTCCTGAAGGAGAGATCCGTTAATTAGTATGTAGCGACCTTCTTTATCTCTTCTCACGAATTTTAATTTGAAGTCAAATTCATCTGATATTAGGATTGCAACTCCCTCCTGTTTATGGGGGCCGTTTGCATGGTAGATATTGCTCCAGCCTTTAACATTGAAAATGTGTTTGTTTTTATGGGCAGGAGATGTGACTCCGGAAGGCAGCAGATAGAAGGATCTTGTTTTTTAATCCAATTAGACAGTCTGTGTCTCTTAATTGGAGAGTTAAGTCCGTTAATGTTAAGAGATAGGACTGAGAGGTAATTGGGATTTCCTGCCATGTTATCCACCTTCTTGGGGGCTGCAAAAACTGGATTGCATCTGTGGCGGCTGCTGGCAAGAGTTCAGATCTCTCTATTTGCCTTGATTTTCCTTAGCTGGCCTAACTCTCTGTCATGTGATGGCACACTTGGTGTGATTCTCTGGCTTAGGACTGTTCACTGGAACTCTAAAACTGCTTTCTATGGGAGAGCTTGTTTAGCCTCCAACTTCTCCTCTGCCATCTTCCCCGCCACCTCCTTGGCTTAACTTGTTCAATAGCAGCATTTTCTCTTTATACCTATATAATTTTCAAGTAACAAATTTTGAGAATTTTTAGTTTTCAATTTTTCGTATCTCCTTTCTATCCCTCCCTTTCTCTCATCCTATCCTTTTCTTCTCTCAAGATCATCTATAAACTTACATAATTTTTAAGAGTTTCATTTTTTAAATTTAAATTTTTGTTTTTTCCATTTTTTCTTGTTTTTTTTTTTTTAATTGTGAGAATGCATACAGAGGAGTTAAAATTACATGGGCAAGGTAACGAATTCCTTTCTTATCAAGAATTGTTGCCTCCTCTTGTTTCCCCTTCTATCCCTTGCCATCTATCCTCCACCATCCTCCTACCCGAACTTCCCCCCACCACCCACCAACGTTGTAAATTTCTTTTGTTGACATAATGACTTGTACATCTCTTTGTTGCAATGGGTCCACCTGTATCCCTAGTTAAATAATTTTTTTCCCTTCCCCTCCACAAATCATACCAACATCAAATACAGTGAAAGCACGGGTTATACCTAGGGAAAGGACATACAAAGAAACATAGAAATCATCTTATAAATATGATAGAAACAATTGCATGAAAGGAAAAAAAAACTTTTGAATACTTATATTGGGGTTCATTCCCCTAACGTTAATTTTTCTGATCTTTTCTGCTTGACTCAGACATATACTAGTTGTTGCAAATAAGGGAGACCATGGGACCTATTTTACTTTGGGCCTGGCTTACTTCACTTAATATAATTTTTTCCAAGTCTTTCCCTTTCTGAACAAATGGGGCAATGTCCTTCTTTCTGATGGAGGCATAGAATTCCATTGTGTATATATACCACATTTTCTTTATCCATTTATCTACTGAGGGACATCTGGGTTGGTTCCCTATTTTAGCTATGGTAAATAATGCTGCCATAAACATAGTCGTGCTGGTAGCTATAGTGTAGTCTTGGGGTTTTATTGTGGTCTTGTGTTTTTCGTGTCTCCTTTCTATCCCTCCCTTCTTCTCATCCTATCCTTTTCTTCTCTCAATATCATCTATAAACTTACATAATTTTTAAGTATTTATCTTTTTTTTTCATGGCACTAACATTTAATGAGAAGACAAATTTTAGAGTAGATAAAATTGAAGGTGCATGCCTCATTGTTGTAGATTTGAAACCATGCATATCCTTCCTCATAAAATGTCTCAAATGCCGTTAAAAACACCACACGCAAAACCAAGCAATTATAAGTCCTTCGAAGCATGTAACTGTGATTAGCTGCTATTCTCAGCAATATAAAAATACTTCCACCACAATTTCATTCCAGTCTGTAAAGTAATTCAAAACAAACAAGTTGGAGACATCGCTCAAATGGCAGAAGCAACAAATACAGATGCTTTGTATCAAGGAAATGAATCCACTGAAGAAATGAACCCATCTGAGGAGCGGTCCTCTGGGGCCTGGCACTAGGCTTCTGGTGGAACGCTGAGTCCCCCTTCTGGGAAGAGACGTATACTGCACCTGGGGTAGCTCTGCCAAACGTCAGGACACTTCTTGCACCCAGTAACACTGAAAGTTTTGTTGTGGATATTCTTTCCTGTGCAGTTTCAAATTTTAGGTATTAAATTTAACAGTTATAACCTGTATTTTCAAATGAGGAACAGCTGATTTCGGATTAAATGTATCATGCTACTTAATTTTGCAACTGGCATTCACACCAGTGGGCATTCTTCTTCACCTTGTTCCTTTTTAATTTCGCTGTAACTTTTTGCTTTGACAGTGTCTTGTTGAACTCCCTCTGCCTTCCAAGTGATGGGGTTACAGATGTGTATCACTATGCCCAACTGTTGTTGGAACTCTTCACCCTCCAGTATATAACTACGTTTTTTTCATCCATCCTTGTGAGAATATAATCTTGCTGAGGCAGAAGACCCTGTTTTGGTTCAGGGAACCAAAGAACTGTCTTATTTATGTTATTGTCCTTTAATGCTTTGCCCCTTAAAAACAGAAATATCTTAAGATTCTATTATAGCAACATGGTACAATTTTTAAATGACCCTTAGGCACTTGTTTAAAAACATTTTTTCTATGTATTTAATAAAATCAATAGATTTCACAATCACATGTATACAGTGTATACAAATAATATACAATGTAGAAAAAAGCCAGACTTGCCCAGCACTGGTGGCTAACACCTGTAATCCTAGCAACTAAAAAATGCTGAGATCTGAGGGTCACAGTTTGAAGCCAGGCTGGGGGGAAAAGTCCGTGAGACTCATCTGCAATTAACCAACATAAAGCTAGGACTGGAGGTGTGACTCAAGTTTGAGCAAAAAAGCCAGAGAGTAACAACATGTTGAGTTCAAGCCCTAAAGCCAACACACACACAAACACACTCACACTCATGCAGCCAATACACTGGGAGACCACAACAGCTATAAAGAATGAAAATCCAACTCCACCTCCAAAAAGCCAGTTGTAAAGGACACACGTGACCATGGCTTTCTATTCCAAATGAGTGCAGGTGATGGGGTGTGGATGGACACTGAAATCCCAGCCTGCACTCAGCTGGAATGGATTGAAGCTGTGGCTTAAAGACATGTACTGTTTGCTAATTCCTAAAACCTCAAACTTTAGTTTTTCCCCCCTTCATAAAAATGTTCTTTCAGCTGTGGAGAAGCTAATAGTTGTTTACAATTGTCAGCCTTTTAAAAAGCACTAATTTGTTCCCTTAAGAGTGCAAATGTTATTCTCCGTCTTCCCGGAGAATAACAAACAACACATAATATATGCTCCCTCCATGCCAGCAGCTTTTCAGGCTGGGGATTCCATCCAGGTCACCATGGGGCTTTCGTCTTTAATTACAAGTTCAGGATTTCTGAAATTCCTTCTTCCGAACTTTTGATTTTGGTGCATTAGGATTTTCTTGCTTGTAGAAGGCCTTTAACAGTTCCACAGCTTCCTCAGCCCGATATCCAGGGATGCGCTGAAATGGTTTTCCCGTATTTGGTAAGTCAGCAGAGGCAACATTTAGAACGGAGCCACAGCCACCAAATCGTTCATTCTGACAGCGGGAGACGACCAGCGGGATTTTCATGAGGCCGAGAGCAGCTGCACACATAATGCAGGGTTCCACAGTGACATACAACACGGTACGTTCAAACACAGCAGAAGGACTCTGGCCATTTCGTTGACACCAATCTAGGACTTGATCAATGGCCACCATTTCTGCATGTCGAGTAGCATTTTTGGTTTGATTCACTTCATTTCTTCCCTTCCCCACGATTTCATTGTTGTAGACCATAAGACAGCCAACAGGGACTTCGGTATTTTCAAGGGCGTCTTTGGCCATGCGCATCGCTTTCTCCATCCACCGTGCCGTCTCCAGGGCCAAAGACACGGCGGTCGAGACGCCCGCCCGGGGCTGGCATGGACGCGGCCACCGCCTCCGCCTCCATCCAGCCGGGTTAACGCACAGCTCTGACCCGCGCGCCTTCCGGGCCGGGAACCAAGTACTTATCTTTTGAAATTTAAATTTGTGTTTTTCTATATTTTCTGGGTTTTTTTTTTAATGTCTCTCCTATCATTCTGTCCAATCCATTTCCCTCTCTGAGATTAGGCCTTGGTTAAATTCACTCTCATCTTACCTGGCCACCACCCTATAATTCTATTTTTCCCCACATTTCTCCCTAGATCTAATAATTTCTGGTTTGCCAATTTTTTTCTTTGCTATTCTTAGCCCATTAATCCATAGTTGTTTGATGTTGAATAGATTGTATCTGTTGAACTAGATTGTGTCTATAGCCTTTTGACTGTGCAACTACCAAACTTTGGTTGATGCTTGCCTTAAAATTATGTTCTAGCACAAAATTAGTGTTACTTTCATACCAAATGAGCAGAAAAAGCCAGAAAAACAGAAGAAAAATGGCAAGCCCAGGTATCTGGACTCCCACTCATGATAAACAGTTGACAGAATAGTTAGTGAATAATCCAGAGGACAGTTCCCAAAAGTCTGTACAAACAATACTGGTAAAAATGGTGAATGAAAAGATTGAAAACCTGCAAAGGACTCAGTGTGAGCATGATAGGGAGAGAGAGAGGCAAACAAAAGATTAATACTGGAATCTCGTGAGAGTGCAGAAACTACTCAAAGATTGGTACAGGAAATGCGTGAGCAGATTTAGAACAGTCAAAGAGCAATACAGGAATTGCATAAGCAGGCTGACAACAATCAAAGAGAAACACAGCAATTGCATGAGGAGGAGGATAACAGAAAAAGAGAAACACAGGTATTGTGTAAGCAGGTTGAGAACAGTCAAAGAGAACTTCAGGAATTGCATGAACATGAGGAAGCTAATCAAAGAGTAATACAGCAATTGTGAGAGCGGAATGAGAATACACAAAGATCAAGAGAGACATTAATGGAATCCATAAAGAGACAGCTGAAAGAATTCAGGGATACCACAAATGGAATCCTGAATAGAGCCTGGCAGAGGGAATGGGCAACAAAGGAAACCATAAACAATCAACTAAGTCATTTGAGAATAAATACTGAACACCAAATTAAGGAAGTATAGAAGTTCATAAAAGATCTAAAAGAAAGCTCTAACAAAGAATTTGAAGCCATTAAAGCCGACCAACTAGAAGGAAAAGAAATTAAAAACAAAGTAGAAAGTCATGACAGTAGGTTAAAACATGCAGAAGATAGAATCTTGGAGATTAAAGACAGCCTTGATATTATAGAGAAATAACATACTACTATCCAAGACAAATCCAAGGAATATGGGATAGATCTATTCAAAATTTGGAAGACACCATCAGTAGGTCTAATATGAGGATAATGTTTGTAAAGGAGCACCTAGAAACAGAAGTTAATGGTCGAGAACATTTGTTTTACAGGATCCTAGCAGAGAACTTCCCAAACATGCAAAAAGTTAGGATTATTCAGATAGAAGAAGCTTTTAGAACCCAAAATATACCAGACCAGAACAGCACATGGCAATGTCGCATTATAATCTGCACAGTATCAATTCAGACCAAGGAAAAGATCCATAAAACTGTCAAGTAGAAAAGATCAATCACCTATAAGAGGAAATCAATTAGAGTCCCCTCAGATTTGTCAGCAGAGAGAATTAAAGCAAGAAGAGCCTGGAATGATGTATGCCATGCCCTAAAGACAAACAACTATCAATCAAGAATACTCTACCCAGCTACACTCTCCTTCATAATCGAAGGTCAAAGAAAAACCTTCCATAGCAAAGAAAAATTGAAACAATACATCTCCACCAAACCAGCTCTACAAAAGATTCTTAAAGATGTCCTACACATAGAAAACCAACAAGACCGCAAGAAAGGCCAAGAAACTGCACCCAAACTGAGAATCCAAGAACCATAGGAAGAACCCAGTTGCCGCAGCCCCGAGAAGGTGGATAACATGGCAGGAACTCCCAAACACCTCTCAGTCCTAACTCTCAACATTAATGGACTTAACTCTCCAATTAAGCCACGTAAAAAGGCTAGTTGGATTAAAAAGCAAGATCCTTTTATCTGCTGCCTTCAGGAGTCACACCTTTCCCATGAAAACAAACACATTTTGAAAGTGAAAGGCTGTAACAAATCTACCAAGCAAATAGCCTCCATAAACAAGTGAGAGCTTCTATCCTAATATCAGATAAAATATACTTCAAATTAAAATTAGTGAAAAGAGATAAACAATGTCGTTTTATACTAATTAAGGGATTTCCCATTCAGGAGGATATTACAAATCTAAATATTTATTCTCCAAACAAAAGACCACCCAGATTTATCCAAGAAACACTACTTTCCCTCAAAGCTCACATAGATCCAAAGACATTAATTGTAGGGGACTTTAACACACCACTATCCACACTAGATAGATTAACTCGGCAAAAATTCAACAGAGAAACTGCAGATCTAAACACCTGCATGGATCAATTAAATTTAACAGATATCTACCAAATATTTCACGCAGTAGCATCAGATACATGTTTTCCTCATCAGCTCACAGAAAATTTTACAAAATATACACCATTTGAGGTCACAAATCAAACTTGTCCAAATTCAGAAACATTATAGTTTTAAATTGCCTTCTCTCAGACCACAAGGGAATAAAATTAGAACTCAACACCAAAATGCACCAAAAAGTCCTGTGACAAATAGAGGGTGAACAACACACTGTTGAAACACCAGTGGGTCATGGAAGAGCATAGAAAGGAAATTCAAATATTCATGATATTCACCAAAAATGAGGGGCTGGGAAGGTGGCTCAGTGGTAGAGCGCTTGCCTTGCATGCGTGAGGCCCTGGGTTCGATTCCCCAGCACCACATAAGCAAAAAGAAAAAAAAGCCAGAAGTGGGGCTATGGCTCAAGTGGTAGATTGCTAGCCTTGAGCTGAAGAGCTGAGGGACAGCGCCCAGACCCAGAGTTCAGGCCCCACGACCGGACACAAAAAAAGCCAAAAAAACAAAAAATAAAAATGAACACACAAATTACTTGCTCCTCTTGGACATGGCAAAGGCAGTATTCAGAGTGTTTTATAGCTCTTAATCACTAAATCAATAAATTGGAGAGATCTGGAACCAACAATTTAGTGAGATAGCTGAACCTCCTTGAAAAAGAGCAACAAGATAAATCCCAATTCAGTAGATGGAAAGAAATAATTAAAATTACATCAGAAATAAACGAATTAGAATCCAAAATAAAAACATAGAAAGAATCAACAAAACAAGAGTTTGTTCTCCAAAAAATTAACAAAATTTATAGATTCTTAGCAAATCTTATCAAAAAACCAAGAGAACACACCCAAATAAATAAACTCAGAGATGAGAATGGAAACAGCATCCCAGAGAAAACCAAGATTCAGAAGATTAAAAGGAATACTTCTCAAACCTTTATGCTAATAAGTTTGAGAACTTGGCAGAAATAGATCTTTTCCTAGCAATTATTGACATGCCAAACATCAACCAAGATGAGTTAAACCATATTAACTGGCCCATATTAAGCATTGAAATAGAAACAGCAATGAGACCTCCCATCTCAGAAAAGCCCAGGACCAGATGGATTTACAGCGGAATTCTACATGGCCTTCAAAGCAGAGCTCACATTAACATTCCTCCAACTCTTCAATGAAATTGTAAGAGAAAGTTCACTACAAAAATCATTCTTTGAAGCCATCATAGCCCTCATCCAAAAACCAGGCAGGGACTCATCATAGAAAGAGAACTATGGACTCATTTCTTTGATGACCATTGATGCAAAACTTCTCAACAAAATTTTGAGCAGTTGACATCAAAAATTCATCCAAAATATCATACACCACGATCAAACAGGATTCATTTCAGGGATGCAAATATTGATCAATATACACAAGTCAATTAATATAACTCATTACATCAACAAATGGCAAGGATAACCACATAGTTATTTCAATAGATGCAGAATAAGCATTTGACAAATCCAACAAATCCTTTATGATGAAGGTTCTGGAAAAATTAGGAATCCAGGGAACATTCCTCAATACAATAAAGGCTGTATATGACAAACCTACAGCCAGCATTTTAATTAATGGTGAAAAACTAAAGCCATTTCCTCTTAACTCAGGAACATTACAAGGATGTCCACTCACTACACTTCTCTTAAATTTAGTATTAGAATGTCTATCTACAACAAGACATGATGCAAACATAAAAGGGAGAGGCTGGAAAGGTGGCTTTGTGGTACAGTGATTGCCTAACATTCTTGAGGCCCTGTATTTGATTCCTCAGCACCACATAGGTAAAAAGAAAAAAGCTGGCAGTGGCACAATGGCTCAAGTGGTAGAGGGCTAGCCTTGAGCTGAAGAGCTGAGGGACAGTTCCCAGGCCCATTGTTCAGGCCGTATGACTGGACCCCCCCCCCAAAAAAAAAACATAAAAGAGATCCAAATAGGGAAAGATGAAGTAAAATTCTCCCTCTTTGCAGACCACATGATTTTCTATTTAAAGAATCCCATGACTCCACTCCCAAATTACTGAAGCTGATTCAAAACTGTTGCAAAGCAGCAGGATATAAAATTAACCCTCAATAATCAATGGCTTTTCTGTATGACCACAATGAGGAAAGCGTTGGTGAAATCATGAAGGCAACTCCATTCATAATAGCGCCACCAAAAATACATTATCTAGGAATTAACCGAAGAAATGAAGTACCTCTATTATGAAAATTTAAAAAACCTGAAAAAGGAAATCAAAACAGAACTTAGAAAGTGGATAAACCTCCCATGCTTCTGGACTGGATGGATCACAATCGTGAAAACAGCAATACATCCCAAGGTGATCTACAAATTCTATGCAATACTAATCAATATTCCAACCTCATTTTTCAAGGAAATAGAAGAGGCAGTCCAAAAATTCATATGAAACAGTAAAAGACAACAAATAGCGAAAATGATCCTTAGCAGAAAAAACAGTGCTGGAGTAATATCAATACCAAAATTCTAACTCAACTACAATGCCATAGTA